AGGGAGATGGGCGGCTGAAAAATTTAATAAATAAATAAATAAATTCAGTAGGTTTCTGAATTAAAATAGCCATTCTGTTTTGTTTGAGTTGAGTCTGAACCTGTTTTTAGCCAACTTAGATCCTGGCAGCCTCCAGGCACCGAATGAAGACTTCCAATGTATCTCTCATTAGAATCAGGGTGGAGATAGACAGCATCTTGATGACACTTCACCCCAAACCAACAGATGACCTTTCCCAACAGCTTCCTGTGGATGTTAAATGGTAGAAGGATGAAGCCCTGAGTCACCCCATAATGGAGTGCCTGTAGGGCTAACCTCTTATCTCCTGAACCACTGCTGACTGAATCTGCCATTCAAAATGGTAGCTCCAATTCCTAATCCTCACAGGCAGTCCAGGATATTGTGGTTGACAATATCAAAGGTTGCTTAGAGTTCTAGGAGGAAAGGATAGTTATACTCCTTCTCTCCCTCCAAGTCCCATCACAGGTCATCCATGAGAGTGACCAATATAGTTTCCATCCTATGTCTGAAACCAGACTGCCATGGGTCTAAATATTCCATATTTTTCAGAGTCCTGTGTAATTGTTACCTCTTCCACAGTAACCATTCCCTAAAAGGGGAGGTTGGAGATTGGATGATAATTGTCCAATTCCATTGGATCAAAGATTAACAGCTGCAATTATCCCATGGGTATTTGTGCATGTAAAGCCTACAATCTAAGCATCCCAAACTTTACCACAGGAAAAGCTGGATTCTGCTATTTATACACATTATGCAAATTTAGCAGTATAGTTTATCTTTGGCAAAGTTTTATTTTGCAGTTTTGGTGTGGAAGAAGTAAGAACTAAGTTTATCATCTCTGGACCTAAACAGATAATTTTCTTTAGTTAATCTCATAATACAGAATAATAGGATTTGGAGTTCAGAAATATTGATTGGCTAATATTTTTAATCTTTTGGCTATCTATCTGTCTATGTATCTGTCTCTATATATGTCATAAATACTTGCTGTTTATATTTGTCATTTAGATTCTGGCTATTAACCGAGGAGAGAATCTGAAAATCTTGAAAGTAAAGATCAACATTCCTGATGGAGTGAAGAATGAATTCTCTAGGTGGTGTGTAAATAAAAGGTTTGTATAGGGATATAAGTATGTGCATATCAATATCCTGTGGTTCTCATTAATGATGCATTCTGAATGCATGCATTTTTTGCATCTGAGTTTGAGTCTTTCAAGAAGACTCAGTCGTTAAGTCGTGTCCGACTCTTCGTGACCCCATGAACCATATTGCGCCAGGTCTTCCTGTCCTTCACTGCCTCCCTGAGTTTGCTCAGTCTG